AGCCACAGGTGCCAAGCCGGCAATATTTTTCAATAGCAGTTCACCTAGTGAATGTTGATACTTTGGGTTTCAGTGGAAAAAAAAAGTTTATGGTGGGGGCAATTATGAAAAAAAAGGTCTAAAAAAGGCTTTTTGGCAGTTGGGACAGGGGATGATAATGAGAAAAAGGTCGGGAAACATTGCTTTACACTAGATTAAAGAGAGGGGGCTCTGTGATGAGATTTATGTGAAAGTGATGTTTGTACAGTTCCTGCTACATTATAAAAACCCAGTATATGGGTGGTGCCCATAGCTCAGTGGGTAAGACACTGGCCACATACACAGAAGCTGTCAGGTTCAAGCCAGGCCTGGGCCTGCTAAGCCACAGTGACAACTGCAACGACAAAAAAAAATATATATATATCTGGGCATTGTGGTGGGCGTCTGTAGTCCCAGCTACTTGGGAGGCTGAGGCAAGGAATCGCTTAAGCCCAAGAGTTTGAGGTTGCTGTGAGCTGTGAAGCCATGGTACTGTACCAAGGGTGACATAGTGGCAACATAGTAACACTCTGTCTCGAAAAGAAAAAAAATAAAGATTTCTCCTACCTCATCTCATTTAACCTTATACCTACTTTGTGGGGAAAGTACCATTATCATTATAGACAGAGAAATGAAAGTTTATAGAGGTCTGTTCAGTTGCCCAAGGTCAAACCTCTGATGGTTGACAGAGGTAAAATTTAAATTTCTGTCTGACTTCAAAGCTTGCCCCAGATGCAATGGGGCAGTAAGCCCTTTCCTCACAATGAGGTGAAGTCACCTACTAGCAGGAGGGTGGGGAGAGAGGTAAGAGAGATGGAATTGACCAGGGCTGGCATTCTTAATGGCCCTGGACTGATGGAAGCATCCCATGCACAGGGCCATGATGATGACTGCCTGTGATCTCTCGGCCATCACCAAGCCCTGGGAGGTGCAGAGCAAGGTATGGACTCCCCCTAACCCGGGATGAGGGACTTCCAGTGCTGGTGGCAGCAGGTAATGAGGCTTGGGCTCTCTCAGCCCAGTGCCAGAGCCAAGTCATTTTTGCTCCATCCTCCTCTGCAAGGATATGGGAATCACCTTAGGGTCTCTCCAATGATCATAGTAAAGTAGGGGTGTGGGAGCAGGGATGGGTTTACCTTCTGTACTCAGTTGAAAATGCAAGAGGGTCGGGAGCAGGGATAAGGGATTGGGCTGGGGCATTTGACTTGGTAGACGCATGAGGGTCTGTCTATTGCAGGTAGCTCTGCTGGTTGCTGCCGAATTCTGGGAGCAAGGTGACCTGGAGCGCACAGTGCTGCAACAGAATCCCATTGTGAGTAGAGAGGGGACTTTGGCCTGATGTTGGACATGTGTGGTCTCATTCTGATAGAGCTGACTTTTTCTTACCTTTTGTTTCCAAAGTGTGGTCAACTTTATTACTTGAGAACATTTTGGAGATGCATATTCAAGGCCTCACCCTAGACCTAGCCAACCTGAAGTTCTGGGGGTGGGCCCAGGCTGAGGCCAGGTGTAGAAGCTCACACCTGTAATCCTAGCTCTCTGGGAGGCCGAGGCAGGTGGATCACTTGAGTTTAGGAGTTCAAGATCAGCCTGAGAAGAGTGAGACCATGTCTCTACTAAAAATAGAAAAATTAGCTGGCATCATGATGGGCTCCTGTGGGCCCAGCTATTGCTTAGAGCCCAAAAGTTTGAGGGCATTCTAGAAAGCCCTCCTAAAATTTGAGAAATGTGTCCTTAGCTCACTCAGCTACTTAGAGCTTGACAAGTAGGAACTAAAACGTAGATTGCACTTCAGGTTTAATAGTCTAGGAGTCTGCCTCCCCAATCCTGTCCTGACAGCACTGACAGCAAGGAGGGGAAGCCCTTGCTTGCCTCTCTGCACACCTGTCAATGTTGAAAGTTAATCTGTCTGGGACTCACATCAGGCTTCCCGTGGGGATGGGGAGAACAGCTGGAAGTTATCCAGAAGGTCCTGAGGGTGGAGCTAAGAAGTAGACAGGGAATTGAAGAGGATGGGTAAAAAAAGAGAGATTTTTTGGACAAACCATTGATAAGGGGACAGGCTAAACCTGTGGGAGCGTGCTAAGGATGGGAGGCTAGGAGCTGACGGAGAGAGGCACACTGGGAGGTCAAGGTCTCCTGTCATGAACAGGAACAGTAAGGCCCCATGAGATCTGTAGTTTTCTTTCTAACATTTTAAAATGCAGAGAGAATAGTCAGCAAACTCTAGGTACCTATCTGCCAGAGCCAGTGATTAGCAGCAGTCTGCCATTCTTTTTTGTTTATTTTTTATTATTTATTTATTTATTTATTTTGAGACAGAGCCTCAAGCTGTCCCCCTGGGTAGAGTGCTGTGGCATCACAGCTCACAGCAACCTCCATCTCCCAGGCTCAAGTGAGTCTCCTGCCTCAGCCTCCCAAGTAGCTGGAACCACAGGCGCCCGCCACAATGCCTGGCTATTTTTTGGTTGCAGCTGTCATTATTGTTTGGCGGCCTGGGCTGGATTCAAACCTGCCACCTTGGGTGTATGTGGCTGGTGCCTTAGCCACTTGAGCCTGACAGGTGCTGAGCCTGTTTTTTATTTTTGAAACAGATTCTCATTCCCTTGCCCTGGGTAGAGTGTGGTGGTGTCAGCTCACAGCAACCTCACACTTTTGGGCTCCAAGCAATCCTCTTGCCTCAGCCTTCTGAGTAGCTGGGACTACAGGAGTCCATCACAATGGCTGATTAAATTTTTCTAGTTTTAGTAGAGACATGGTCTCACTCTTGATCAGGCTGGTCTTGAATCCTAAGCTCAACTGATCCACCCACCTCGGCCTCCCAGAGAGCTAGCCTCTGCTCCTGGCCTCAGTCTGCCATTCTTATTGTATCTGTTTTCATTCATGCATTTTTTTTCTTTTGGCTGGAGTATTTTAAAGTAAATCCCAGATATTGTCTTTTCTTCCATAAATATTTAATATGTATCTCTGTGACATGAGAGGTTGGTACAGACAAAAACATACACACAACCACAATACCATTATCACACTGACAAAATTAGTAATAATACCTCAGTATCATCTAATCCCCAATCTCTGTTCATTTTCTCCAATTGAGGAAAAGAATTCAGTTGATTTGTTCAAATCAGAATCCAATTAAGGAACACACTGCCTCTGGGCTTTTTTAGGGCGGGGGGGGGGGTTAAATCCTGGAGGTACTGCAACAGCAGGTCAATGTGTAGAATGGATGGAGCAAGCTCCTGTTCCATCCCCCTGCTCCCAAAATCATTTACTATAATGTCAGTAGTTAGAAGACATTAAACTGATACAGGAAGTACATTTGATCTTAGCCAAAAGGCCAAGAAGCCTGATTGTTATGTCTCTTAAGTTTCTTGATTAATAGTAGGATGCCTACCTACCTACTAATTGGCCTTTTTTTATATTGTACATTTCCTGCAAACCGCTCTTTCAAATCTGGAAACTTGATGAGTCTATAGTTTGATTCTTTTTTTTTTTTGAGACAGAATATGTGTATAGTTGTATACACAGTAGAGTACTATGATGTCATAGCTCACAGCAACCTTAAACTCTTAGGCTCAAGTGATCTTGCCTCAACTTACTGAGTAGCTAGGACTACAGGCACCCGCCACAATACCTGGCTATTTTTTAGATGGGTTCCCTGGTCTTGTTCAGCCTGGTCTTCTCCTGAGCTCAAGTAATCCACCCACCTTGGCCTCCCAGAGGGCTACAATTATAGTCATGAACCGCTACACCTGGCCTACAGTTTGATTTTTCTCTCTCTTTTTTTTTTTGAGACAGAGCCTCAAGCTGTCCCCCTGGGTAGAGTGCTGTGGCATCACAGCTCACAGCAACCTCTAACTCCTAGGCTCAAGCGAGTCTCCTGCCTCAGCCTCCCAAGTAGCTAGGACCACAGGCGCCCATCACAACGCCCGGCTATTTTTTGGTTGCAGCCGTCATTGTTGTTTTTTGGCAGGCCTGGGCTGGATTTGAACCCACCACCTTAGGCGTATGTGGCTGGCGCCTTAGCCACTTGAGCCACAGGTGCCTAGCCCAGTTTGATTTTTCTAAAGCAGAATTTTACATCGATGGAGGGGCCCTCTTACTGCACAGTGCAGTTAACTTTCTCCCCCATGCTAGCCCATGATGGACAGGAACAAGGCGGATGAACTCCCCAAACTTCAAGTCGGCTTCATCGACTTCGTTTGCACCTTTGTCTACAAGGTAGGCTGTTGGTTTCCTCACACCTAATAAAATGTCTTTGATAAACCCAGGATTCCCAAACAACAGCAGGGATAATTAGCCTGGGGAGGGGCCAGTGGGTGATACTTTACAAAGTATCTTCTCATCTCTAGTGACACGTGTCTCTTGGATGGCACTGTTGGTCTTGGGTGATTGTAGCCCAGGCTAGCGCCTGGAGCTTGGCACAGTGTAGTTGCCCAGTACATAGTTGTGGGACAAATGACTAAACATGGCTTCGGCGGGGGCAGGGAAACAGCAGACACACCCCTTGCTAGCTTCCTCAGCTGGTGGAGATGTGATAGGCCTAAATAATTGTGAAAAGATAAGTCTGGAATTTCTCCTTGAACTATTATTCCAAGTTAAGTTCTTTGAGATACCCATTGCTCCCATCTACCTCTCATTTTTAATTTTGCTTTTGGCCATGTTTCACACGAGAATACAAAAGTCAGAGATGAGGAATGGCAGGGCCGTTGTCACCAGACTCAGTCATGAAGCAGGATTGGAGCGGGGACCTCAGTGTGGGCTCTCTGTGTTGTGCCTGCTGCAGCCCCTAGGCAGGAAGGAGAAGTGCACATGCTCCAGGGGGCACAAGAGCATCTCAGATATGATGCAGACTAACTGGGGTCCTCTGCTCAACGGGCAGAGTAGCTGAAGCTCATCACTGTCCTCAGTAGCATCACTAAATTGGGGAGACTGGACAAGGTGGCTTACATATGTTCTCACAACAACCCCGTGCAGGAGGTATTGTTACTGTCCTGATTTCATGGCTGAAGGTGAGATCTGGTAGTGACCCCTCTCCCCCAAGGTCACACAACTTGTGGCAGAACCTGGACCTGATCCCAGTCATCTCTAAACAGTTGGCTCTGGCTGGACCTCTGCACTGGGCCCTGGATTTGCTGTCCATACCTTGGGCAAACCTACTCCATCAATCTGTGTGTCAATGTCCTCACCTAAAAATGTGCCAGTAGGAGCAACGATTCTTATTTTCCCACCTCAAGGGAATTCGATAATTCATAAACTGTAATGTGCTGTGCTCAAAGGCAGCCTTTAATCCACATGCCAATTTCACTCCACAAATACTATCTTTGTGCCCCTGACCCTGGGCTAGATCAGGACCACCCCAGTGATGAATAGCCAATGTCCCTGGCATCTCCAGGTTCTCAGCCACTAAGGGAGACAGGCAAAGAGGTCATTGCAAGGATGCAAGATGGGACTTAAGGGGCAGAAGAGGCTTCCCAAGTGATCTGTGAGTGCAGGCCTCAGGGAAGGAGAGGGGAGGTTAGGGAGTTGGGAATTGGAAGATTTGGAATGTCTGGGGGTTTCAACTTGGTGAAGGGCAGGAGGGCTCTAGGTCATGGAGAGGCTTGAAAACCACATTAAGGGGTTTACACTTCACCCTAAAGGACACAGGGTGCTGCAGAGGAGTTTGAAGCAGGAGAGGGACAGTGACCTATGCACTAGAGGCCCTGCAGCTTCAGCCTGCACACCACTTGCAGGAGAGTTTGAAGCAGGAGAGGGATAGCGTCCTATGCACTAGAGGCCCTGCTGACCGCTTGCTGACCCCTGCTACCCACCCGGGGCAGCTCAACACAGTGCCATTTCCAGCTTCTCCTCCCGCTTGAGCCCAGCCCTGGAGCATGGGCCCTATGCCAGAGGCACACACTCTGTCTTCCAGGAATTCTCCCGTTTCCATGAGGAGATCACGCCCATGTTGGACGGGATCACCAACAACCGCAAGGAGTGGAAGGCACTTGCTGACGAGTACGAGGCCAAGATGAAGGCTCTGGAGGAGGAGAAGCAGAAACATCAGGCGGCCAAGCAAGGTCAGTGGACAGCGGAGGGTGTCACGCCTGGCCTTGAAGCTCCATGCCGCGCCTGGCCAGGCTACACAGGGGGCCTCCTCCAGGCCTGCTGCTCACCTGTTACCATCCCCTTCTGTGTCCGAGGGCACTGAGGCTGGCAGGGCTGGCCACACCGTCAGTAGTGGGATTGCCCGAGTCCCAGAATGGGAAGCTCTTGGCCTCCCAGCCTGTCTCCCCAACAACATAAGCACACACTATGATTCTAACACTGTGGGCATATGTCTCTACCCTGGTGCAAAGGAGAAAACCTAGAATTATTCGTTGGAAGGAATTTTATAGGCCATATTTCCAGCCTTCTGTCTGATGTCTGAATCCTGCCTATATGATCATGAGGAAGCGACCTGTGTGCAGGCCTGCATCCAACCAGTGACATAGTGACATCTTCATTCAGTACTACAGTTAGGAAGGGTCTCCCTTGAACTCAAAGTATTCTCCTTGTTGAAATTCCCACCTAGTGGCCGCGGTTCTGCCTTTGGGAATCCAATGGCATTTTCTTGTTCCGATTCTTCCCTACCCATGGTACTGTCCCTTCCTTCAAGCCATTCCTTTTACGGGCTTTGCTCTGTTTCCTCATAGGACACGGCTTCTAGTCCCTGGCCTACCCTGACTGCCCTCCTCTGCACACCCCACACTCTTCACCCTTGGTTCTTACACATGGCCACGGTCAGGGCCCCTCACGGCTATTGGCAATGTGGGGAGATTCTAAAGGGGCAGCTGCAAAAATAATAATAATGAAATAAAAAAAATTAGAAAAAGGCAAAAACAAAAAAATAAATTAAAAAATTAAATGAGCTGCTACAAATGTAGGGCTACCACTTACAGACTCCCCGTGTCTCCCAGACATCGGTGTCAAGTGTGGCACCTCATTGTCATCATTTTTGTACTGCGCTTTTTTTTAGAAGAGACACTATTCTCAGTCTCCATCATTCTCCTCATGCCTGGTTTAACTTCTACGTGTGTGGTTATCTGTTGGCCCTCAAAAGCCTTTGAATTTGCAACTCTTGATCCGAACTAGGTCAAAGGGGAAGCCCTGCAGCCTCCGGTCACCCAGTGTGTTCTCTTTTTTGTCTGATTGCAGCAGCCGCAGGAAATCCTGGAGGGAACCCCAACCCAGGGGGTGCGCCTGCGTCCAAGTCCTGCTGCATCCAGTAGTGGGGACCAGGGATCTACTGACCAGCCCGCTCCACTCTTTCATGGGAGATTACCCAAGCCAGTGGAGAACCACACACCTTTCTGAGAAGTGAAAGAGTTACAGGATTTGAAAGCCAATAGAGAATTTAGTTTCCATCTCATCTCGTAGTTTTTGCCCATTCTTTTAGCCTTGACAACTGTTTATTGAGCTAAAACCAATATTCCAACTTTCACAGTCATCAATTAAACATTTAATTAATGCCAGGTGCACCTGTTCACTTAGGATCATTTTTTTTCCTTATACTTTCATTTAATATTTTATAAAAATTTCCATTCTCAAGATCAGAGAATTTTACACTGAATCTCCATGTGGCCATCACTCAGATTCTGATGTCAAGATTTTGCCACATGCGCTTCACTTGTCCTTTTTATGTTTCTTTTTCAAGTTTTTCTTTTCTGTTTTTTCTTTTCTTTTTTTTTGGAGACAGAGTCTCACTTTGTGGTCCTTGGTAGAGGGCCATGGCATCATAGCTCACAGCAACCTCCAATTCTTGGGTGTAAGTGATTCTCTCTCTCTCTCTTTTTTTTTTTTGTTTTTTGTTTTTTAGAGACAGAGTCTTGTTTTATCCCCCTCAGCAGAGTGCTATTGCATCACAGCTCACAGCAACCTCCAACTCCTGGGCTTAGGCAATTCTCTTGCCTCAGCCTCGAGTAGCTAGGACTACAGGAGCCTGCCACAACACCCAGCTATTTTTAGAGACAAGGTCTCACTCTGCCTCAGGCTGATCTCAAACCTGTGAGCTCAGGTGATCCACCTGCCTCGGCTTCAAAGAGTGCCGGGGTTCCAGGTGTGAGCCACCACGCCCAGCCTCTTTTTCAAGTTTTTCTTAACTGAAGCATTTAAAGGCAAATTCCAGACCTACCATTTTATTCCTCTATTGCATGTCTTTAAAAAAATAAGGGCAATTTCTTTTCTTTTTTTAATGCTTACGCTAGCCCTGGAGGCATTTTCTAGCATAAGCACATCATTATCGTGTATACTAGATGCACACCTAATCCTCACTGGTGGTAAGTGCTACGGGAAGAGACACAGACCCCCCAGGACTCCTCATGGGGTCCATGAAGTCTGTCACATAGCTCCTACTTCCTGCCTTCCCCTTCCCCAGGCATTGGTCTGGGGCACTCCTAATAAGCTTCCTGCAGACTAAGTCCATTTCAGAGTCTGCTTTCTGCAGAACTCAACATGGGATTGCTGGTTCTTAATCAAACGTCCTTCATCTTTACAAAAATGTCTTTAATAGTTGGCTTACTTGACTTTGATTCAAACAAGTTTCACACATTGAATATAGTTGTGGTTTGTTTGTTTGTTTTTATTTTCATTCTGTCACCCTGGGGTTGTGATTTAGTGCAGTGGGTCTACAGCTCATAGCAACCTGAAATTTTTGGGCTCAAGTGATCTTCTTCCCTCAGCCTCCTGAGTAGCTGAGACTTCAGGCACCTGCCACAATGCCCAACTAGTTTTTCTATTTTTTTTTTTTGCAGTTTTTGGCCAGGGCTGGGTTTGACCCCACCTCTGGCATATGGGGCCGGCGCCCTACTCCTTGAGCCACAGGTACCACCCTTCTATTTTTTTTTAGCAGAGAGAGTCTCACTCTTGCTCAGGTTGGTCTCAAACTCCCAAGCTCAGGCATTCTTCCTGTCTCAGTCTCCCAAAATGTAGTTGCTATATTTCTTTTGGTTGGTTTGTTGGAGCCAAAGAAATACAGTTATTTTTGGATTTTCCGTTGATTTCAAGGAGTATAAATTAAGGCAAATTATTCTCAATTTCAGGCCTTCTGTTTCAATTAACAGATGTTCTATTGGTTTAAAAACAGACAGAACTTATTTCTTTAAAATAAAATCTACATTAATCTATGCCCTGGTGAGTCTGCAATAACTTGCAGAGTGCCATTGGCCTGGTTAGTATTCACACCATCGTAACAGATGTTGAAAACAGCACAAATAAACCCAAAGTTGGAAATGACAATAACACGGGCAAGTGCAGTGGTGCATGCCTGTAATCCTAGCAGGCATGGAGGCCGATGTAGGAAGATTGCTTCAGGACAGGAGTTAAGAGAACAGCCTGAGCAAGAGCGAGACCTGATCTCTACTAAAAATAGCTAGTATGGTATGGTGGTGCCTGTAGTCCCAGCTGCTGGGATTCAGGCTGTCCCATCCTTCTCCTGGGGAGACTGAAGCAGGAGGATTGCTTGAGCCCAGGAGTTTGAGGTTGCTGTGGGCTAAGATGATGTCCTTGCAGTCTTCTTGGGGCAACAGAGTGAGATTCAGTCTAAAAGAAAAGAAACAAAAGAAAGAAAAGAAGAAAGGAAAAGTAAGAAGAGAAGAAAAAAGATAATAGTGGGCTTGAAAGTTAGCAGTAAATTTCTGCTACACTTGCCCAAATTTGGTTTTTTCTCACTCTCTAAAGATTTTGCAACCCCACTCTGTTTTATGGAGGTATAACTGACAAATAAAAATTGGATGTATTTAAGGTGTAAAACTATTTTTTTTTTGGAGACAGTCTTACTGTGTTGCCTAGGCTAAAGTGCCATTCCTCAGCCTAGCTCACAGCAACCTCAAACTCCTGGGTTCCGTGATTCTCCTGAATCAGCCTACCAAGTCACTGGGATGACAGGTGACCACCTGATTTTTCTTTCTTTCTCTTCTTTCCTTCCTTTTTTAGTTTGAGACCAGATCAGGCTGGCCTTGAACTCCTGAGTTCAAACTGGCCAGCTCCAGTGTATGTGGCTGGTGCCCTAGCCCTTGAGCTACAGGCACCGAACCAGGATTACCATCTCTTTGTGGTGGTATATAACACATTCCTCTGTCCCCTGTTCTCCTATAAATGGAAAGCAGATCTTGAACTTTTCTTCTTCCCAAACTGAAAGTTACACGGAAGCTAATACTTTAAAGCAGTTGCTTTGAGGAGAGGGAACCACATGATTTTCCATTACTGTAAACTACTTATCTCCTCTAATCTCCCTTTTTAGATAAATGAGGAAATTGAAGGCCAGTGAGGGGTCAGGGCTAGGCCAAATTCATGGCTCAGGCCCCTGGCTTCTTTCCAGAGATGCCCAAGGTTAGAGGACAGTATACGGGGCATACACATCCCCATGACCTCCACAGCAGATCAGTCAGGCTGGGCTCCTGACACACAAGGCCTACGCATATTTGTGGTTCATGATATTAACAAGGCACTAGGGTCTAGAACATGTAGTTTTTAAATGTGATTGCCACTCTGAGAATTATTGGCCTTTCAAACAGAGGCATGTCCTAAGGATATCATGTATGATGGTTATGTGGCTTGGTAGTGTCACCAAGGAACACACAGGCCTTGATGCTGCTGGTCCTGGGTCAGTCACTGCATCTCTGAATTCCCTCAACAGGGTTAGATGGCCAAGGGGAATATTTTGAAGGTGACTGTAGTGACATTCAGCAATGAGGTATGTAGCACTTTTTCTAGGATGAGTTTATAAACTTAGTTGTCTGACCTCGTAAAGGACCTTTGAGTTCATCTAAGCAAATCATCTCAGACTTCAGCTTTCAGGGAAGTCAGGGACTAAAGAGGTAGTTTGTCTAAGTCTATGCAAGACAGAAGTGGTGGAGTTGGGTCCCAAATGCAGGGTTGGAAGCTCCGACCTTACCATTCTATTCCTTGCACCATGGGGGGGACCCACTAGGGAGGCCCCTTTTAAGAAAATGGGGCTGGGCATCTTGCAGTGGAGAAGCTCCCCATCTATCGAGGTAAGGGGCCCCAGACCCTGAGCATCCAGTCACACCGAAACTGTAAGGACTCTGATGGTGCTAGAGTGCTCTGTCCTACATAGAAAACTCCCTATTCATTTAATGGTGAAAATCATGATGTCTTCCCTTCCAAACGAAGAAATCCAGTTTTCCTAGATTGAGAAAACAAATCACCTGAACAATGAGAGTGTCTGTATGTGAGTTTATGTATGTAATAAACAACAATTTGAAAATACCTTGCATATAACGGGAAATGTAACAGCTTATTGCCCTTGCTTTTGTTTGTATGAAATTCTCTTCATCAGTGTTTCAACAATCTGGGGGCTCACGGGTACCCTACACCTTTAAAACTGAATTTTAAAGTTAAAGCACAAAAAAACAGTTTTAAGGAAAAATAAAGACTAAATGCTTTGAAACATGAGGAAATAACACACACACACACACACACACACACACACGACTGAGTCTTGGAAGATGCCGCTTCCTCTCAAAGGAAAAGGTTTCCAGTTCACCCAAATAATGGCACACAATTCAGATCTGCTGAGACTCTCTGACTAGAAACTGCTTTGTAAATCAATGACTGTTTTGCCTGAAACCATAATGTCACAATATCTCTCACAGCACATTTATTTAGTGTTCTTGTGTGAACAAGTTGATATTACCAAAACAAGGACATCTTTGTCCAGCTTGTATAGCTTTATAAAAGTCATGGCAAAAAGTTGTTAATGGAACATCTGTGACGTTAAGATGAGTCTCAACAGTTACCATGAGCCTTGAAAAGTATTGTGAAGGAGGAAAAGGGAACCAAGAGCTTTTTTTCCTTTCAAGACAGAATGTCACTTTATTACCCTTAGTGGAGTGCCACGGCATCATAGCTCAACCTCAAATTCTTGGGCTCAGGAGATCCTCTTGCCTCAGCCTCCCAAGTAGCTGAGGCTACAGGTGCCCACCACAACGCCTGGCTTTTTTAGAGACAGGGTCTCACTCTTGCTCAGGCTGGTCTCGAACTCCTGAGCTCGGGCAATCCACCTGCCTGGGCTTCTCAGAGTACTGGGATTACAGGTGTGAGCAACTGTGGCCCAACAGAGAGCTTTGGGGAAGCAGGGGTAGGGCAGGCACACTTTGACTGAGGTCTTGTCTGAGAAAGTGACGGTGAAATTGAAATCTTCTCCCCACTGAGTGCCAGGGTGTGCCTCAATAAGGGATGAGGAACAACAAAGAAAGACATACCTAGGCAGGGCTGTGGTGGTATTTTCTTTTTAATCTCCATAGTGTATTTGTTAAGTTTATTTATAAGCAGATCACTTCACTATTTACAGTACATGAGCATAGAGATTCTACAGTTCTTGTGATGTAAACAATAACTCCCCAGT